GCTTATTTGGTGGTAGAGAGCCTGTAGCTTGTGCTGGTACTGTAGCATTAAGCCCAAGCAGATTAGTCAGAGTCCACCTTTGAAGTTAAGTAGAAAAACCAAAATGGTATTTTTGTTTTAGGAGGTTTATCATAGGGTTCAGACATCATAGGAATATTAGGAGTTACCTCCCTGTGGAGGTACTGATTTATATAGTCTCTTTGTCCTTTAATAAAGGCTGGGCTGGCTTTTTGGGATGTAAACATGTTTTCAGATGCAGTAAGTTTTAATGTACAGCCTCCCTGACCCAGTGGCATGAAAACCATTACAGAATTAATAGTTCTCCTATTTCCACAATGTGCCAAAAGTCCACATCCCAGCATTTTGTTTGTAGGAGAACTGATGCCATTCCTGAGAGCTGGGCTCCTTGTTTCTCTGCATCACATGGAGAAGGAGTCCAGACTTCAATCGCTCCACTGTATGCTCCCTTAGATAAAACAGTAAAAAATTTGCAGCCATAGTTCACTTAAAACAATTTCAAGCTCACTTGAAGTAATGGGGGCCTGGAATGCTAGGTGGGCATGAAGATAAACCCTTGCTACTATGTAGCAACCCAATTGGACCTTTTTTGGAGGAATAGGTCTGAGTCTGGATTCTGGGGGACATCAATAAGAAGCCCTTCTCATAAATATAGAAATCCAGGAGACCATTTGAGTGCAACACAAGTTCTCAGTATTTGGAGGGTCCTCTCAAAATTCTGCGGCCTTACTTTGATTTTGACACCTGCACTGTGCCATTCCTGATGATTCCATTCAGGATCTGTATCAGCAGGACGGGGCACAGTCCCCAGCACAACTCTTCTGGATTAAAAAAAAAAAAAAAAAAAGCCAGGTGATTCATTTGTGTGTGTGTGTGATAAATGGAAGTGACTTCATCAGATATTGAAGAAGATTTCTATATTCAGCTCTTTCTGCAGGTTGGAGTTAGCATAGAGTTGGAAAATCAGCTTTGGCGTTCTTTCCTGACTGTCTCTGATTTCCTCTAGTGTTCTCCCTTTTCTGGTCATCAGCTCTCAACAACTCTGCCACTTTTGTGTCCCAAGGTAATAAGAAGTAGGAAACGAAACATTGCAAAGTGGAGCAAGAAAAGTTATCGGTTACCGTATCAGAGTCAAATGTCTTGGGTGACACTAAGGAGGACATGGGCAAGGTGATACCAGAGTGCTTTATCTTGTGATGCTGATACAGTAGCAGCCTCTCAGACATATAACCAGGTTGGATTTCTCACAAGTTTCTCACCTAGTTTTGAATCCTATCCCATTGGTTTCTGCAGAGAAAAAAAAAATGTTACGTGGTTTTTAAGTTTGTTCTGGGTGGGGAAAATCTTATGGGGAATGTACTACATATCAGGGGCTCAGCTTCCCCAAGCAGAGCCAACAGATTCCAAAATGAGTAAACTGGGAAGCTTTTTCTCTCTTTCTGTCTTCATCCCAGATCAAAGAATCCCGAGTTAGGATCTGGATGAAGGATAAGCCCCTGAATTGTCGATGGGCACACCCCACACACTGACCCAGCATCTGAACTTGCTTAACAGGGAGCCGGGGCTAACCTGCTTCACCCTGCCTGAGAACCAGGGAGCACTGCATTTCTCCACAGGGTGGAGGAGAAGAGGCAGAATAAACCAAGCCTGGGACACCTCCCTCCTGTCTAGGTGTCCTCATTCTCCTGTTTCAAAAGACTGCAAGGACATGAAGTCAACTTCTACCTGTCTTCTGCTGCTGGTGTCTTATGTATTCTTAGTTTGACCTGATTCCTCTTCTGTCTTTTGGCTTCATGTTAGGGGTTCTTGGTCAAAACCTGCTCTGATGTACATGAAGATTTCAGGTTCAAAATCCATGTGTTTTAAAACAGGTATTTTATAAATGGGGGAGAAATGAAGCAGGATATAATTGCCAAAAACTGGCCTTGAGGTTAGTGACTCTTGGAAAGATTTTCCTTAAGGCCTGGGTCTGAAAATTTAGTGCAACAATAGCATGAATTCTCAGAAGCAACCCTTTAAAGGGAGCCAGTGAGTCATACAGTATCCAGTCAAGTCACTTAAAGCGGATGACAGTATAGGAAACTTTCATAATCCCTGGGCAATCTCATTTTCTCCCCCCTCCCTTTTTTCCCTTTTCAATCCCTCTACCCCCTTATTTCTACCCTTGAGTTAGTTTTTTGAGGGGTAGGAAGTACCTAACATCTCGGAAGCTAGGTTGGGAAACATGCTCAGCTGTAAAAGCTGAGCTTTATAAATTTTGTCTTTTAGAAATGTACATCAGGAGCAGTTGGGGAGGGTCTTTTCTAAAAAAATCTTTCAAATTTGATTTTCTGTGCGTATGGCCGTTCTGTAAATACTTTGGGGTTTTTCATTTTTTTGAAAGTAGACAAAATCTGGGATTTTTCCCCCCGAAACATTACAAAAGAACCTGTTTATTTACATGCAAATAAATTTCTTTGATAAAAAGTATTATGCCTTTGTGTAGTAAATGTTTAACCTTTGAGCAATTTTCACTTATTCAGCTTTTTTAAAAAAGGATTTTATTTTTAGAGGGGGGAGTGGGGGAGGGGCAGAGAGAGAGGGACAAGCTGACTCCCTGCTGAGCGGGACCCAGAGGGGTGGCTCAACCCTGAGATCATGACCTGAGCCAATCAAGAATCAGCAAAATTAAGAGTCAGCAGTGCAACCGACTGGGCCACCTGGAGAGCCCCTATTCAGCTTTTTAAAAGTCCACCAATCAGAAAAAATTCAATCAGGAAATAAAAGTCTTCCCTGAGTATTACTCAAAATAGGTTAACTGTAAAGGATAACTGAAACCTGGTAAAAGACCTGTGAAAGTTTGCTTCATTTGATTTATCTGCTTGAGCCAGTTTTACTATCTTTTGCAGGTCTTAGTCACCAAATTCATCAATAATTGGGAGAAAACTGCTCTTAGATCAGATAGGACTAAAAAGCTGTGTTTATATGGCTGAAGTGAAATAACAGAAGTAGCAGACAATATAACATCTAGACCTGGGTTTGTGGGCCTGAGAATGAGTTTCTGAAGCTAGGTTCCTTGCTTAAGAAGCCCTTTCTAGGACAAACACAAGAAAGTTTAATAAAAAAAAAAAGTGCTTGAAGAGTTGGGTAATAAAGCTTCCAGCTTAAATATGCCTGTTTTGTTTTCATAATTTTTACTTTCTTTTTTAAGAGCAGGAGCAGGGGTTGGGCTGGCAGGAGGGGAGGGCCAGAGGGACAGAGACTCTTAAGCAGGCTCCACGCCCAGCTGGGAGCCCAAGCAGGGGCTGGATCTCACCACCTTGAGATCATGACCTGAGGGGAAAGAGTTGGATACTTAATTGACTGACACCCAGGCACCCCAGAATATGCCTATTTAATAAAAAAAAAATCTCCAGCACAAGTTGCTCTTAAGTAAGCTCCTCTCTCTTATATTTTATTTTTAAGTAATCTCTACACCCAACGGGGCTTGAACCCACAACCCCGATATCAAGAGTGGTAGGCTCCACCAACTCAGCCAGCCAGGTACCCCAGTAATCTCTCTTAAATCAGATTCGTAACAAGCCAGTCACTAAAACGAATTAAAAGAGGTATGAAGACAAACATACTTACTTTGGAATACGATTAGGGACAGTGATCCTGCCAGGACTGCTGGAATTTATGATACAGTTTCTAATATTTCATCTTGGGTACACGATTCTGTAGTTTGTCGTTCTAAAAGAGGGTAAACTTATTCCTTAGTCCATGGAAATTCGATGATAAATTTCAAGACCTTGAGAGCTGGTGTTGCTGAAGTATAATAATATAATGACACAAACTAGCTTGTATGGAAGGAGCCAAGGAGTCAGATGAATGTAATTTCCACTGAGCCAGCGCCCCCGCCTACTCGTTAAGACACGCTTGTTTCTCCCGCCAAAGTGGCGTCAGGATCAGGTTCTCACCAAGCAGAGCCCTGATTGGAGGACGGGCAGGCACTAGAGCCCATTGGGCGCCAGCGGCAGTCTGGTGGCGGAGGGGCGGGGGAAGCCAAAGGCACTTCAGCCTCGCACGGCCCCCCCGCAACCGCCAAAGCGCGCCCCTCCCCCAGCTAAAAGGAATGGTCGCCCAGCTCCTGCGCTGCACCCCCTGACCCCAAGGCGCGAGGTGCGGCCTTGCTGCATATTCCTGGAGCAGAGGGTAGCGCAATTACCGCCCCCCCCGTCCTCCTGATCTATGCACAGGGAGACCCACGCCCTGCCGCGGCCCCCCAGGCCTCCCTGCAACACCCGGTAATGCAATCCACGGGGGCGGGGGAGGCGGCGGCAGCGACAGCAACGACGGCGGCGGCGGCGGCAGCACTGCCTCAATCTAGAGACAACCAGAAAGAGGAGGAAAATGGCTCCGAGCAGGGACCGCCTGCTGCACTTTGGGTTCAAGGCGACAGTGAGTGATAGGGGAAAGGAGTTGGGTGGCCGGGAAGGACATGTGTGGCTGCACAGGCTACCGGGGAAGAAGCGACAAGACTAGGGGGCTGGGAGGGCTTGACAGAAACCTCAAGTGTTTGCTGGGTGGGTGCGTGCTGTTTGCCGGCGAAAGGGATTAGATGGGCTCCGGTACTGTGTGCAGTTGTCCTGCTTTCCTCACTCGCGAGTCCGCGAGCACGCGCGCACTCACACCCTCCCCACAGCCCCTCCCACACACAAATACACACAGACAGATAGGCACTTCCCTGCCTCTCCTCGCGGTGGGCTTGCGTGCCTCGGAGGCAAGAGCGGGCTCGCGCCGCCGCCGCCGCCGCGCTCCGGCTGCTCACGGGCGGACCGTCGCGGGCTGCGCCCGGGAGTGGGGGAGGGGTGGTCCCGCGCCGCTGCCGCCGCCGCCGCCGCCGCCGCCGCCGCCGCCGCCGCCGCGGCCGCCGCGCGCTCCTCCTCCTCCCCTCCCCACGCCGTTCCGAGGCCCGGGCGGCTCTGCCCAATGAGGAGCGGCGTTGCTGGCAGGTGGGGAGTGTTTTTGTTTTGGGTTGAAGTTGAGGCTGAGGGGAGAGAAGAGCTAGCGACTAGCAGTCGTCGCTGCCGCCGGCTCTGCGGGAGGTGGAGGAGGCCCCGCCGGAGCCGAGAGGTTTCCCCTCCCCGCTGACGGCCCCTGCCCGTCGCTTCTCTACCTCCTCCCGGTCCCGGAACTCCGGGGCCTGCCCCGGGCCCCCAGTCTTTGAACTCTGCACGCCGCAGCGCCCGGCCCCGGCCGCACCCGCCGGCCCCATGAGGAGGGACGTGAACGGAGTGACCAAGAGCAGGTTTGAGGTGTGAGCCTGGGGGGGCTGGGGCGGCGTGAGCAAGGCGATTCCCGCTCTTATGCCCCGAAAATTTCGCTCGGCACGGAGCCTCCTCCCTTGCCTGGCGCCGTCACCCGCCGACCGCTGGGGCTGCCAGACTTCTTTCCCCTTTCTCGCGACCCGAAAAGCCCGGTGCAGCCCAGCTTCCCTAGTGCTCCGGGCTGGTCGCCTCCAGCCTGTTCCACCAGCGGGCCCGGGCAAGGGATTAGCTCTGGCGCCCTAATTCCCCCCTCCCCCCAGTATCACTCAGCTTTCCATTCTTTACACAATCCTTGGCTTCTCTCCCTCCACCCGGCAGAAAAAGCATCACAGCTCCGATCAACCGGAGCTGGCTTCTTTTCTTTCTGCCACCTTCTTCGTGAAGGGAGAGGGACATTATGGGCCAGGGGGCCATTTCTCCGTGTTTGAGAGACCTTGGTTAAACTAGGGAAGTGGAGGTGGTAGACTGGGATGATGGAGACGACCACGAGTTTTCGGTGCTGTTTGGTTTGGGTATTGTTCTGATACTTCCTCTTCTTTCCCGTTTGGTCTGTACTTTTGTAGTTCATTGTTTCTGGGAACTCCTAGATGTGTACGGTCGAGACTTCAGAAAACCCACTCTTTTAAGAACTTTTTCTCCTCTGGCGAGAAAGGTTTATAGCTAATGGAATTGAGGAATGGATGAGGAAACAGGAAAACAACCTGCAAGCGTCTTCAGTGAGAAGTCACCGTGTTAAGGAAGTGATTCCTTTGGGAAGTGAAGTGTTCTAACTACGGATGAATTGCAGTAGTGTGGTAATATACCCCAAGGTTTACTGAGGGGCTAAGACGGTGAGACAAAAGTTTCAGGAAACTTGCCCACTAGGTGCCCAGGGTGAAATTGTTACCTAAGGGTCTTTCTTCAGTTTAGTCTATTTCTTTTTTT